TACGCTTGAATGTTTCGATCCAAGAATTACAAAGCTGAAACTTTGAAAAGATAGTCTTTGACTGTGTACTTGGTGAAACCGGAACCAGTTTAGTTATAGCTTATGACTTCAGGCCGAAACCAAGGCCGAAGCTATAAGTTAAGTACCAAACAGGCATAGATGGAAATCTCAACGGAATTAAATTCACTAGCTGTTGCAATGCAAAGAATCCGAAACAGCTCCCAAATTTTCTTGCCCTGCATTTTCTGGCTCATGCTACTTCTCATAGTTCCAGGGCGAAGCCACCTTCTAATTAAAATATTGGATTCTTGTTCATATCTTATTGTAAAATGACAAGTTTTTATTAGCTTCTACTCTCCAGTGTACTTTGACTAGTGACCTCTTTTTCAAAGAGGAGCCAGTGCAAAAGATTTTGAACAGAGCAAGCTATGATTCTGTTACTTGCGCTAAACTGGGTCAAAATATCACAGAGCCGAAGTATTGTCAAATCCTTTATATGCCGAGTATTCATCGTTTTTCACGCGCTGTAATTTATCACAAAACTGCCAGTCTCGCGGTCTCATCAAGCGCATCGGTACTAGTCATTGTTTGAATATCGTATAGGAAAGAAATGATTGGTGTATTTTGTTGAGTATATAAGGAGGATTTTACTGGTGAAAAATTTAACACCTAGTGGGTTATCTTTAGCGGAAGCAGCTGCTCGACGAAGGAAAGCGTACAGCGAGGAGGTTTGGAAGCGTTATCAGGAGTATCAAAAAGTGAGCTCCCTTGGCATTTTCACATTTTCGAGACTTTTTGTTTTGCAGTTTGCCAGAATGCGTTTACAGTTTTAGCATTAGCTGTACCTTACCTCTGAGACTTCGTTCGAACAAAGTATTATTTAATTCACATTGGCTTAACATATGTTCAGCCTCTAAATTGAGAGAAATACGTTTTAGAGAACTAACTTTTTCAATTTTAAGCTTTGGAAATCAGACCAGCCGGAAAAGTAAATTTTTGCGAGCTCGGTCCAAGATCATGGGCGGCTGATTGTACATGAAATCAACT